TGCTTGAGTCTACTCTGCTTGAGTCTACTCTGCTTGAGTCTACTCTGCTTGAGTCTACTCTGACTGAGTCTACTCTGACTGAGTCTACTCTGACTGAGTCTACTCTGACTGAGGCTACTCTGCCTGAGGCTACTCTGCCTGAGGCTACTCTGCCTGAGGCTACTCTGCCTGAGGCTACTCTGTCTGAGGCTACTCTGCCTGAGGCTACCCTACCTGAGTCTACCCTGCCTGAGTCTGCTACTCTGCCTGAGGCTGCTACTCTGCCTGAGGCTGCTACTCTGCCTGAGGCTGCTACTCTGCCTGAGGCTGCTACTCTGACTGAGGCTGCTACTCTGCCTGAGGCTGCTACTCTGCCTGAGGCTGCTACTCTGACTGAGGCTGCTACTCTGACTGAGGCTGCTACTCTGACTGAGGCTGCTACTCTGCCGGAGGCTGCTACTCTGCCGGAGTCTTCTGTGTCGGAGTCTTCTGTGTCTACTCTGGCTGAGTCTACTCTGACTGAGTCTACTCTGACTGAGGCTACTCTGCCGGAGGCTACTCTGCCTGAGTCTACTCTGCCTGAGCCTACTCTGCCTGAGCCCACTCTGCCTGAGCCCACTCTGCCTGAGGCTACTCTGCCTGAGGCTACTCTGCCTGAGGCTACTCTGACGGAGGCTACTTTGACGGAGGCTACTTTGACGGAGGCTACTTTGACGGAGGCTACTTTGACGGAGGCTACTTTGACGGAGGCTACTTTGACGAAGGCTACTTTGACGAAGGCTACTCTACCGGAGGCTCTCACGGAGGTTTTCTCGACTGAGGCTACTCTTACCGAGGCGGCTCCGCCTTCCACGTACAGGCTCTCCGAATCGACTCCACTTGGGTCTACTCTGACTGCGACCTGGCCGGAGGCGACCACTGAAATCGGCGACTACGAAGACAGCACGGACACCGTCGGCAGCTCGACCGATGGTCTTACGACACCTGGTCTTGCGATCTCGCGGACTTCAACCGCTTCGGTTACCGGACCAAACGAGCCGAGTTCCAGCTCAACCGGAACGTTCGGGACTGGACCGCATTGGACCGCCACGGCTAGGGACCTGTCCACTAGTGGCACCGGCGCGGAGGCGACCAGTCCCTTCACGGAGTCTGTTGATAGAGAATCCACGGCCGGAGAATCAACGGCCGAAGAGTCAACGGTCCGGGCGTCCACCGTCAGGACGTCCATCGACACGGAGTCAACGGCTGAGGTGTCTACCGATAGAGGGATCCGGAAATCTACTGATGCGGAGTCTACCGATAGGGTGTCTACCTCTAGAGAGTTCCATACCGTTGTCTCCACATTGCCCCACACGACGGCCGACGTAAAACAGAGCACGTCTTACCCTGGATTCACTACCTATTACCCCCCCTTTGCGACCAGCGGAGAGACGCCGTCGAAGGAATATTCTCGCCTTGGAGAGTTCACGACGCGGTCTGGCTCGAACCGTAGCACATTGCTTGCTTCGTCCGGTCGTGTTGAATCCGGCGGGACCGGGCCCCGCCCTGCTGAGACGCCCTCTACTGAACCGTTCTCTACTGAGCCATTCTCTACCGCGCCGTTACCTAATGAGCCAACTTTTGGTGAACCAGTGTCTACTGAGTCTGTATCTACTTCACTACCCCCTGTATTAACGACCAGTCCCGTGTTCACTTCTCCGAGTAGTGCTCCGGTTAGCAGCACGTCTGGCGGGGAGTGGTTTACGCCGCAGAGACCGTTATCGACCGCTTGGCCCAATGAGGAGGAGTGGACTCCTACTTCCCTCGCGCCTTCCTCCTGGCCGGGGACAAGCACAGACGTGCCGTCCACATCGAGAAGAACTGACCGGCCTGTGACGACAGCCGAAGGTGGGGTGCTCACAACTGGAGAGGCGACGACTGAGATGGGCACGACTGAATTGGTCGCGACTGAAGTGGGCACAACTAGGTGGGAAAGACCCTCAGAGACGTACCCGGAATTGCTGCCCGAGACCCGTACAAGTGCGTCCAAGACCCACAGCAGTGTGTACAAGACCCACAGCAGTGTGTACAAGACCCACAGCAGTGTGTACAAGACACACAGTAATGTGTACGAGACACATGCTAGTGTGTCCAGCGGAACGACGGAGGATGAAGGGACCGACACGGGACGGATGACTTCCGATTCGCCGTTGACCACAACAACTTTGCCGTTCTCTTCTGGGGCAGACATCGAGGTAACAAAAGAGACATGGGCTCCTGTCCATTCTACGCTGTACAATACGGAACACGGTACCGACTACGCCGCGACCTCTGGACCCGTTTTCGAGACGGTTACCACGACGTCTGCTGCCACGATCACGGACGCGACCGTGCCTACGGGCGTCCGTGATGACCTACTCACAACTTGGGGTTTCACTACCCGCGTCTTGCCTTCCCAAACAGCTGTCGATGAGACGGCGTCCATCTCGAGCCAGACTACCACTGGGGATGAGAGAACCAGTCCTGAGACCCATTCAGATCACATGCCCTTGTTCGACACCACAACTACTGAGCCCGTATCTACTAAGCCCGTATCTACTAAGGGCAGTTCGACACTCTTCTCGCCCCGTTCTAGCTCGGACATTTCGACAGGTGCACTCACCTCGAGCGTGTCTGTTACAGAACCCAGTGACATATGGACCACTGATTCTTTCACGGCAGAAGGAAGACTCTCTACACACGATGAACCAGAATGGTGGACCAGCACAAGTGAAGCAAGCACGGCTGAGAAGATACGGGCCACTGTATCTGAGCCTCGTACCGCTACCCCTTTCCCTCCCAATGTCGATTCCCGTGCGACTTTCCCTACGACTGCGCCGTCCGCCTCTTCGAGATCGGCGACGACCTTCCCGGTGACGTACTCCCAGTCTGGCAGTACCCGAGCGGCCTTCCTCACCGCGACCACTGAGCTCCCTACTTACTGGGAACCTGCAGAGTCCACCGCACATGAGCAGTCGACCCGACCCTCTGGGATCACCAAATGGACCACGCCAGAGTACTTTGGCTCAACCAGGAACGAGCTGGATACTACTACTTTTCCGGTTACTGAGTTCACTACGAGCAGTGGGTTAACTGCTAATAGGACAAAGCCGGTCGAGACATCGTCCACGAAGTGGGACGGCCGCATGGGCACAACAGAGCTCGCAATCAAACCCCAGTCCACCGAACTTCCGTCGTTCACCGAAGAGGGCACCTACCCATTCCCCGCCGAGTCAAGCACAGACCCCATGCGCTGGCAATCGTCCCCGGCAGCCACGCTCATTCAGAGGCCTCTTGCCCCCACGGACTCCTTTACCGAAGCAGCAACGGACCTCGTAAGCTCTTCTTCTGCGAGTGACGATACCGCGGGTCTGCCCGAGTCCACCCCACGACCAACTCACTCAACCGCTCTGTGGTCACCCGTCGGGTCCACAACCCCTGCGGAGTCCTCCGGCTCCGTGTCTACGTCGCTTACCGGAGTTCTAACGCCTGCTCCGTCGACTTTCAACTCATCTCTCTACTCGTCGACAACCCACTCATCGATTCCTTACCCACCCACTCCTTATCCGACAAGCACTCAGGACACTCCCAGGTCTACTTTACCGGTCCCATATCACAGCACCGACAATTTCAGCACGGCCACAGCCCCGGCTACGGCTTGGTCTTCGCTTGGGACCGATTGGTCTTCGCCTGAGACCGGTTGGTCTTCAACGGACTGGTCTTCGATGTGGTGGAGTTCAGGACGCTTCTCCGCTGGCGACCGGTTCACTACAACCGCCCATCGCACCAAAGACCGATCGTCCGAGTCTGGAGAGACAGCGACCGCCCTCCCTACCGCGCCAACAATGAGTTCACGAACGGCCTCACTCGCGACTCCTGGGCACACGACGGGCGCCGCGGTACCGGCCCCTTCCAGCACCCCCGGGGCCGCCAGCACGGAGCTCCTCCCGGGCTGGACCAGTGTGACTGGCACAAGTGCCCCCGGCCACGCCTCGACCGGTGCTCCGACGGAACCGACCGTGACTTGGAGTTCCACCTCCGAATGGGAACCGACCGCCACCTCGGTGCAGTCTACCCGCCAAGGCGCAACCCCGACGGACCGCTCCGCATCACCAGAAAGAACCGAGCTCAGAACGATCCCTAGGGATAATCCTCCAACCTCGCCTGGATGGTCGGCAACCTCGCCTGGGTGGTCCACAACATCAACCGGGTGGTCCACAACATCAACCGGGTGGTCCGAATCCTCGGCGGGGTCGTCCACGACTTCGGAGATGGATACTTCGCCTTTCCACACTCACAGTATTGGAACATGGGATACCGACCGCGGTACGTCTGTTGGGGCAGAGCCCAGTGGCGGGACGTACACCACCAGTCATGTCGGAGAAACTACAGCGGCAGTTGGCACCGTGGCCGACCCAGGCAGTACTGCTGACAAGACTACCGGCGAGATTGGGGTCTCTACTGAAGAGGTCGAGGATATCGACGAAGGTGAGGAGGATACTAGCACAGAGAAGGAGCCAGTCGACTGGCGGACGTTCTATTCGTCTTCTGCTGCGGATGGACGTCGCTCTGCTGGCGCGACTCGTGTTCCACGGAGGCTCCCTCCGCAGCCGGTGGTTCATCAAGTCCCACGGCTTCGCCAACCCGGACCGAACGTTCCGCGTCGTCACCTTACCCCTTCTCTTCGACGAATGTTAGTACTAGTCCACCGCCGTCTCAAACCACCCACTACGACCCCCGTTCCGATCGGACGGGTAGCTCTCGGCGTACAAGTCCTTCTTGGACGAGTTCTTCTTGGGCACCAGTATCTAGCGAAGGGGGTTCCACGAAGCGTGCAGCAGACGAAGCCTCGACCGAGCCGCACAGATCGCCTTACACAGTCAGTGGAATATGGAGCTCAGAAGGAACACACGCTTGGACGACCGCAACCTTGGGTCCGGCCTCCCGTCCAGCGTCCCGGCCGGCAACCGAGAGGCCTCAATCAACCGAAGCCGGCTGGACAACACCGGCTCAATCGTCCTCCACATCGGCGCCCACTCCTTTCACCTCGACTCCTTCCACCACGTGGTTCGAGGATACTAGCTCCTCTGCGGCTGAGCTCAGTACGGAGCTGCCAGACTGGGATGAGGGCGAGTTCTCGTCAAGACAAACTGGACATACCCTTCTCCCACCGACTCCGAGCCGAACTGTGACTGCCCCCACCCGGCGGGAGACAAACACTGCCATGAACACGTCCACGCCGAAAAGAAGCGCCTCGACTGGCCATACCTCAACGCGAACCAACCCTAAACCAGGAGCAAGTACTGAAGGAGTAACCACCGAGATTGTCACGACGGAGGGAGCTGGCACTGAGGGTGCAGGCACTGAAGGAACAACCACCGAGGGAACCAGCTCTGACGGAACCGTACCTGAGGGAGCAAGTACTGTGGAGGTAAGCACTGAAGGGGTCGTCACCGAGACAATCACAACGGAGACCGAGAGAGTCATGATCACGACGGAGAGAGCCGGCACTGAAGGAGTCAGCACTGAAGGAGCCGGCACTGAAGGAGTCAGCACTGAAGGAGCCGGCACTGAAGGAGTCAGCACTGAAGGAGCCGGCACTGAAGGAGTCAGCACTGAAGGAGTCAGCACTGAAGGATTGAGCACTGAGGGATTCAGCACTGAAGGAGTCAGCACTGAAGGAGCGAGTACTGAAGGAGTCAGCACTGAAGGAGCGAGTAC